AAGCTTTATAATCAATCATCAGCTAAGTACGAACTCTTAAAAGAGCAGTTTAATTTAGTGGATGTTTTCATCTCGAACATAACGAAAGGGTAGTAAAATTGAATTTAGCGCACAAGGGTAAAATAAAAATCAATTTCTGCTACTGTATATGCCTCGTTTTCAAAAGAAGACGTAACCTTTATACCTAGTGTCTCAGGCACACTTAAAGTTTACGTGAATTGTGTACAGTTTATTTTGCTGAAACATTGTTATTCTTTAGAGGAACATTTCATCTGTGCAAATTAAAAAATGAAAAATAAAAAAGTGTTTGCTTTGCTAATCATTAATTAAAGTCTCACCACAGCCACAATATTCTTACACATGTCCCCCCACAGTCCAAACCAGCCTGATCTCACGAGAAAACGTAAGTATTTTATGTTTTGCCAGTTTAGTGGCTAATTCGTAAGAGTTTGTACGAGTTCAGTCGTACGAAATGGTACGATTTTAAAAAGGAGGCGTGGCACCTAACCCCACCCCTAACCCCAACCGTCATTGGGGGATGAGCAAATCGTACTAAATTGTACGAATTAGATTGTACGAATTCATACGAATTAGCCACTAAATGAAAAAGTTACGAATTGCCGTAAGATTGTGTTGACATGCACTATAGGTGAATTGAATAAACTAAACTGGCCATGGTGTATGTGTGGGAATGAGTGTGTATTTATGTTTCCCAGTACTGGGTTGCAGCTGGAAGAGTATCCGCTGTTTAAAACATATGCTGGATAAGTTGGCGGTTCATTCCCCTGTGGTAAGCCCTGATAAATAAAGGGACTTAGCTGAAGAAAAATGAATTAATTAATTTTCTGAAAGCACAGATGAAGCTCTTTAGTTTCATATTCCACATAAATAGACACAAATTTATGTATAAACACAAAGTTCACGTAAATATGTAGGTTGTGTATGTTTAATAGATACATGTTTACTTTGATCTGTGTATTAAACGACAGCTGCATACAGTACATTCTGCTGTCTATGCTATTATAATCAATCCAATTACAAAAGAAAAACAGATTTTTTTCATTGCTCATGACTGGATCTACTGTAAAAAGATTATTAAGAATACATTACATGAATGCTGTGTTTTTTACTTACAGTTGAACTCAAAATTATTAGCCCCCCTGTTTATTTTTCCCAATTTCTATTTAACACAGGGAGATTTTTTCAACACATTTCTAAACATAATAGTTTTAATAACTCATCTCTAATAACTGATTTATTTTTATCTTTGCCATGATGACAGTAAATAATAATTGACTAGGTATTTTTCAAGACACTTCTATACAGCTTAAAGTGACATTTAAAGGCTTAACTAGGTTAATTAGGTTAACTAGGCAGGTTAGGGTAATTAGGCAAGTTATTGTATAACGATGGTTTGTTCTGTAGACTTTTGAAAAAAATATATAACTTAAAGGGGCTAATAATTTTGACCTTAAAATGGTTTATAAAAATGTAAATAAACTGCTTTCATTCTAGCCGAAATAATACAAATAAGACTTTCTCCAGAAGAAAAAATATTATCAGACATACTGTGGGAATTTCCCTGCTCTGTTAAACATCATTTGTGAAATATTTTAAAAAGGAAAAAAATTCAAAGGGGGGCTAATAATTTAGGCTTTTTTTACATTATAGGCTGACAGTAAACATACTGTTGACATACAGTAATATTAAAATACCAAGTAAAACAAAATGTCCCCTTTAACACCTTTATTGAGTAAAGATTGAGATAATGAAAATTATGCAGATAGATCTACCTTTTACTCCCCTGTTTTTCTTGCTTGAAGGGATACCCCAGGATATATATATATATATATATATATATATATATATATATATATATATATATATATATATATATAAAAACCAGAGATATATACTACATATACTTTTACTAAGTGCAAGAAAGACCATAACAATAAATTGGATGAAGCCACACCCTCCAACAATAGTAAAGTGGATAGAAAAACTTGCTTGTATATATAGAATGGAGTATATGACTGCTCAACTTCAATTAAAACTGGATATTTTTAAGCAAAGATGAGCACCTGTTATGTTGTATCTGAATAGGACATAGTATTTCTAGCTCCTTTTTTTAACTGAAAATATTGTATGTTGGTTTATTTATTTTATTTTTTTGTAATTTATTTTTATTTACATCTGCGGATAGTGTCGTTTTTTTTTTTTTTTCTTTTAATAATTGCTGCTGTCACTGAATTTTTTTGTTCTGTAAAATGTTTTAATTTATAAAAAATAAAGTAAAAAAAAAGTAAAGTAAAGTAAAGTAAAGTAAAAAAACACTTTTATTAAATTTTAAATAAATTTTAATTAATAATCACTGGGAAAACCCTGGAGTGTTATTGCATTGTTGAATGTTCAAAAGCCTTGACGTATGACGTAAAAAAAATTATATTGTAATCAATGTCAATGAAGTTACCATATCAGGAACGTATGGTACTTTAATGCAGGTTTTAATGCATACCTATCAGACAAATCATGGTTTTAACACGTTATAGAATTGTTTTTTTTTTATGATTATTTATTTATTGCAGAACAAAGCCAGCATACAAAGCTAGCAACAACTATATATAAGCCAGGGTTTGCATTAAATGAAAATAGAAATGAAAAATAGAAATGAAAAATAATAATAATAGTAAAATAAAGACAATAAAATAATAAATGAATACCAATCCACAGAAAAAGAAATACTCTGGGGTGAGAATTAGCTACTTATAATATAAGAAGTTTTCTTAATACAATCAGACCATGCTTTGATTGTATGGGGTTTAGCTCTGTTAATTCTTGCAGTAGAACGTTCTAACAGCGCAAGATTTTTTAGTTCAATAAGCCACATTTTATCCGCTGGGAATGAGGGTCCATGCCATATTTAAAATGTAACCTTCTTGGCTGCAGTTAGTGCAGTAAGAAGTATCCTGCGTTGGGAAGTGTTTAGGTTTAGATCAGGGGTTCTCAAACCTTTTTCATCAAGCACCACCTCAGAAAAAATTGTCTCTCCAAGTACCACCATAATGAGCAGTATTGAAATAGAGTAGCGTAGTAGCCCCATTAAGCAGCTACAGCTCTGCCCAGTTTAAAAATGTGGCAGATTAATTTCTATTATTACGAATATTTATTATTGTCAGCCACTTAAACATTATAAATAGTCTGAACATTAACACTGCACTGTGCTTATATGTTAAAAAAAAAAACTCAAAATGTCAATATTTAAATAAAATTTTGCTTTTAAAAGTTAAAAATGGTTTCCCAGTGATGGGTTGCGGCTTGAAGGGCATCCGCTGCATAAAAACTTGCTGGATAAGTTGGCGGTTCATTCTGCTGTGGCGATCCCGGATTAATAAAGGGACTAAGCCGACAAGAAAATGAATGAAGAATGAAGTTAAAAATGGTAGGTTACTGTTCTTAAAAAGTAAAAAAAAAAAAAACATTGCTGTACTTAAACACCTGGAAATATTTCCTGGACCTAAGAAATATATGTCATCATATTTATATATAAATCATATGATAAATTTTGAAATATATGTAACATGTACATACATGTATGACATAATTGATTCCTCCACGTACCACTAGTGGTTTATGTACCACAGTTTGAGAACCACTGGTTTAGATCATAATCATCATTCAATAAACGATACGCTATAGTATTGTTTAGGTTTTGAATGGTAACAAATTCAACGGATGAAGTTAATTTAAAGACTGACACTAAGATCTGCGAAGAAGTAAGAATTACATTATATCACAAATGCATAAAGTTGAATGATATCAAATCAATGGGGTTTAAGAATCGAGAACTCATGTTTGTATGTCACTGACATCACAGTTTTTTTTCCTCAAACTGTCCAGTTAACACACACTCACACGTGTCCCTGTCAATCAAAGCATTGTACGATTCGGCAGAAAACAAAACATGTTTATATTTATTCTTTTTCTCAGTCTCCACTGAACACAACAAAACAGCAACAAAAAAGTATCAATCTTTTTATGAAATGTAATCTTGTTTTAATCTTACTAAACGTAATCTTGTCTCAGTTCCCCACGGTGACATTTAAGCATTGCTGGAAATTTTTTATGTAAAATTCAGATCAATTATTAAGAGTCTTCCAAAATAGTGTGTGTGTGGACGAAGAGATCAACATACAGCCACGCAGCTCAAGTAAACTTTCTCAGCAACTTATTTTTGTCTCCCAGAAACATTGGTCAATGGAAAACCCTGTAATTATGATGGGAATAATGCTGTTTTTATTGCAAGCAGATGCAGCACCAGCCTGCTTGCCTTAACAAACCCATGTATGATAATCATATGATCACAATCAAAGTCATTTGTCACACAAAAGACACCCTAAGATTGAGTCAGCAGATTCAACTGAATTTCCGCACAGTAAACATCCCTCAAAATTACCAGGTGACCCAGCCATTGCAGTACAGAAATGCCATATATAATGCTGTCCTGAGTTTGAGATGATTCTGTTTCAGAAATGACACAAACTTAGAGGAGGACTACAATCAATTGTGAGCCTGTGAAGCAGTTTAAGAAACTACACCTTAAATGATTCAATGAAGAATGAATGTGAGTCACCTGAGCGTAAACTGAGGAACAAAACACAGACACACTTAGTAGGGGCCACTTTCACTCACTCCTTTTTTTCTCAGGGTACACAAAACTTTCAGAAGCAAATCTGAAATAAACAAACCAACCATACAGAAGCAAAAGCATAATTAATGAATAATACACGTTATAAAATAAACAAATAAATGTTATAATCTCTTAGCGACGTTGATGTGATCAACACTTCATTAACGAGACATATAGGCTCAGCCTTTCCCAATATTCTTGCTTATCATGAATATCTTATTGAAATGCTTTAGATGTACAGAGTATAAAATCTAAGTTGTTCGTTTGTCATAGCCTATAATGTAAAGTGATTCACAAAAAGAAAACTCACCAATTTTAAACAAAAGTTTTCGTTCGGTCCAAACACATGGGGTCCGCTTAAATGAACGCCAAATTAGCTCAAATATTTTCACAGAAGCGCACAAAGAATAGAGTGATGAACACAGACGCGCTTGCGCTCCTTCAACTTCACATGAGACGCGACGCGACAGAAACGCATCTCGACGATGACGCCACACGACAGCAGCCAATAGGAGCAGGTGCAATGTGTTGAGTGAAAGTTTTTTTTTTTTTTTTTTTGCAACAACAACCGGCATGTAGTTTCATTTAACAACAAAAGCACTTCACATTCTTTAACAAGAAGGATTACACGAGAAAATTAAAAAAAGAAATTAAAAGAAAAAGAAAAAGGAGGAGAGGTAATGATCAATTTACATACAAATATGTCATACATATATTTTAAAATAGTGTTATTAATAGAATTTATTGAATGCACTTTCAATACAGAAAACTCATGTATATAAACATTTTATTTAAAAAAATAATGGAGGAGCCTATATAAATCATTTTAATTGCTTTATTTTTTTTAAGACACTAAAATTAATTTGACAAAAATTTCTAGCACAATGAAAAGAGGTTTGCTTTGTGCCAACTTGCATTTGTGAAAATGAAATTTACATAGTAATAGAACAAAGTTTATGATAAAACCAGTATCTTTTAAAGAGCAGTCCTATTACATATTAATTCAAAATCATGTTTATAAGATAAGGAGGGAAAGTGAAATATCATGAGCAATGAATGCTTCCACATTAATCCTAAAATGTTGAATACATTGGCAGGACCTAAATAAATGTGGAATAGGTTCCTTAAAGCATTTACAAAAACTTTTGTAGGGTAAAATCTATGAATTAATTTAAATGATATTATATTTATTTAGCCTTATTTGTAAGGAAAACAAATCGAGGTAATGGCCATACTTGAGTCTAGTTTACATTATTAAATATATTGGTCCGGTAAAAAACAAACAAACAAACAAAAAAACATAAAGAATAGAAGTATTCTCTTTTAAGATTAAAGATGTAATTTTGTGATTATTATGCTTAAATTCAGAAAAAAAAAAACATAAAGCCGACTGAGGTCTCAGATCTAGATAGACAAAATGATACTGATACACAGCATATGTAACAGCATGTATTGCCCCAGTAAACACTTTAAAATTCCCGTACTGTAATTTGTATCTTCTAATAAAGTCTGTAAATGTAAATAATGTACCTTCATTATTAAATAACTGACTAACTAATATCAGCCCTTTGATAAATACATTTGGGAAAAAATAGTGATTAGAATAAGATAACTATGAGGGGAGCAGTTGTTTATAAATACACATCCATATAGTAAACACTTGTTGGTGAGGTTTAGAGTTTGATGGAAGAGAAAATTGTAAGAAGAACTGAAATCACATGTACTTTTATTATAATTATTTTAATTCAAAGATATTTCACACTCAACTACGAATGAAAGATTCTAAACAATTGCCCACTGGTAGTAATTCACATTTATTAATGTTAAGGCAAAGACCTGAGACTTTAGAAAAGGGTTTAAGAGTCTCTTTGGCTGTGGCAACCTGTGAAGCATCCTTTAAAAACAAAACAGTTTGATCTACTAACTGGCTTATTACCACTTTAGTTTTTTTCAAAAGATACTCGTTTTAACATGCTTTCTCTAATATGGATATTAAGAAGTTCTGTAGCTATCAAAAAAGATACAGGGAAAATTGGCATCCCTTATAGTATAATTTTGATGTAGAAAATGTAGGAACCCAGTATTAGTTATCCGGTTGCTCCCAAACCAAACTGGAAAACTGTATTAATACAGTAGCTATATATATATATATATAATCATGGACGTTCTGTTTTATTTCACTACCATTAAAAGCATTACAAGCAATTTAACCATTAAAGCCAGTACATTTTAATAGTTTCTAGTGTGTTTTGTGTGCTGTTTCATTGGGATAATTTTAACATGTTACCAAGATAAGGCAAAATTCAATTTAATTAGAGTTTCAATTATAGCAATATAATTTTCAATATAACCATTAAAAACCCATTACAAATTATATGAAGCTTTTTGTTTTAGCAGGGTGGGATGTCTTGATGTAAACTTAAAAAGTATTGTGCTGTTTGCTCAAACTGCTTTATTAAATTTAAAATGAGCAGAAACAGAGGCCTTTTTACAGTGTAGACTACCTGAAAATTTATTTAAAAAACACATTTATACCATATTTTGTTCTTTCAAAAAGTAACTTTTAAAAACAGAATTAATTCAGCTGCTCCTAACTACAATAATTATACTTGATTTTAGAAACTGCTGGCACACTGCTTTTGAGTGCTTTTAAATCTGTGATGTGGCGCCATCTAGAGCTCAATTTAGTAGGGAGTTTAATTCTGCACCATGGGGAACCGCATGACAGGGATTTTAACCTGGCGAAATCGCGTGCAAATGTATGTATTTGTTGCTTTATTATTTCTTTATTCGTTTATTTTCTTATTTGTTTTATTGCAAGGTGTTTTCGCTGTGCAAAACAAGATCATTATGCAAGTTTAACAAATGCATTTATCAAACATACTACATACATAAATACATACTAGATAAAAAAGTGTATATATATATATATATATATATATATATATATATATATATATATATATATATATATATATATATATATATATATATATATATATATATATATATATATACATACATACATACATACACACACACACACACACACACATTTAATAATATACATTTTAAAAAATTCAAATTTAAAAATAAATAATAAATTTATACATTTTATAAATGTAAATAAATACATTTATTTATTTATTTTTAATCTAGTATGTATAAACACAATCTACGGCTCAATGCCCAATCAAAAATCTGTAGTCAGCAGGAAGTCCCTCCGTGCACGTCTACTTCCTTCCTTAGAGCAGCTTCCGTCGCGCATTATTGACCATTGGTAAGAGTTTTTGCTCAGTAGAATGTGTTGTACTCAACTGATCTATATAAGAGAATAATATAGATCAGTGGTTGTACTCTATTGATATAAGTAATAATCTTACAGAAACTCTGAAAATATCGATGTATAAAGACGATTGACAAACGTTGTTTATTTAACCTACATTTACGATTCACAGTCATTGGTTGTGGCTCAAATATTGAGCTCCAGTATCCAGTAAGTGACATTTAGTGGCATCATAGGTAGGCAATGTGCATAATGTGTGGGTATAATTTTGAATTGTAAGATGCGATGCTGGTTTAACTTAACCTTTATGTTGATCCTGGATCATTGCTGTTCCAAAATATAACCCATAATTACTCAGTACCCTTTAACCTATCCCTGACTAAATTATTCAAAACATAAGAAAGGGTTTAAAGCCGCTTAACAATGGCGTAGAAGCTTTCCCTATCTGTAAACTAAACTTAACTTAAACTAACTAAATTTATCCCTTAAATCTTATTGGCTGATTGCATGTTATTTCAATCACATTAACTATATGCTTGTAGCAAAATAATAAAAGTCAAGCTCATACTACATATATATGCCAATCACATTTTATTGAGTTTGTTAAAACAGGCACAGATGACTATAAAACAATTGTAATGAAACTTACAAAACTGTAAAAGGCAACACTAGTTGATCTGTTTTTACAGAACAAACACAAGCTCCATACCTCCATATCATACCAACCTGATGTGTAAGAACAAGTTTGAATTGGAATGGCGTGAGGATGAGTAAAATTATGACTGAATTTTATAAATCTGACATTATTTATTCACCCTTAACTTGTTAAAAACATATTTGAGTTTCTTCTGTTGAACACAAACTCATTGGCTCATTGACTTTCATTGTATTTATTTTCCTACTATGGAAGTTACAATGGGTCCCATTTTTCAAAGACTTTGTGTGTTCAACAGAACAAAGTAATTCATAGGTTTAAAATCACATGAGGACTCAGAGGGTTGTTTTAAAATATATGTTGAGGCGAAAAATGAGCTGCAATTCATAAATGCAGTAGGAGGATTGTTCATCGTTAGTTCAGGTAAACTCTACTGTGGTTAACAAATGAAAGATTATTGTACTGTTTTACCCAGAATTATAATGCCTTGATTTTTTTTTTACTTTTCATAAATCCTTGTGAAATGTTTGGATAACTTAATAAAATGACCTAAATATAAACACACAGTTGAAGTCAGAATTATTAGCCCCCTGTTTATTTTTCCCCTCTTTTTCTGTTTAAAGTAAAGAAGATTTTTTTGCAACACATTTCTAAACATAATAGTTTTAATTACTCATCTCTAATAACTGATTTATTTTATCTTTGCCATGATGACAGTAAATAATATTTGACTAGATATTTTTCAAGACACTTCTATACAGCTTAAAGTGACATTTAAAGGTTTGACTAGGTTAATTAGGTTAACTAGGCAGGTTAGGGTAATTAGGCAAGTTATTGTATAACGATGGTTTGTTCTGTAGACTATCAAAAAATATATAGCTTAAAGGAGCTAATAATTTTGACCTTGAAATGTGTTTTTTAAAAAAAATTAAAAACTACTTTTATTCTACCTGAAATAAAGCAAATAAAACTTTCTACAGAAAAAAATATCAGACATACTGTGAAAATTTCCTTGCTCTGTTAAACATAATTTGGGAAATATTTAAAAAAAACAAACCAAAATTCTAAGGAGGGCTAATAATTCTGACTTCAACTGGATACAATCTTTGGAAATAGGCCAAGGGAAAAGCACTCTTATGTGTGCACACCAAAGAGCTACCTGGTAGCATTTGACAAATATAAACTGGTTGTCACTGTAACAACATTTATTATTATTTTTTTTTCATACCTGCAAATGCCCAATACACGTTAGGTATGAGTAATAATTTTTGAAAATTCGCAGTGATGAGCATGTCATTACTGTATGTCTTTCACAGGCATGTTGCTCTCCCAGAAGCTCTTTGTGGCTGGCAGTCTCATCAGACAACATTGCACCAGGACACAGTTGCCTGTCCTCACACTCTTCACAAAGGTACATTTGATGTCAGTTACATTACATCTATCCAAAATACTCAAACCCAAAAATAAAAACATACTTACTTTGGAAAAACTCGCTTAATTTTAGCATATTATTTCTGAAAACAAGTCGATATGTTTTGCTTGATTATAAAATGCTTCCTGATTTAAGAGTTGTTAGATATTTGGACTAGAAGCAAGACAAAACATCAGTAAGAAAAGTAATGGAAATTTTTAAAGTATTACAATTTCTTGTTTAGTTATGAAATTAATTATCATACATATACTTCTGCTCTGATGCGTTTTTTTTTAAATACGTCTCATCTGCTCACTAGGCCTGCATTTATTTGATCTGAAGTACAGCATATTTTTACTATTTAAAATGTTTTAGAATGTATATAATTCCTGTGGTAATTTTGGCATCATTACTCCAGTCACATGATCCTTTAGAAAAAAAAAAAAATGTATATATATATATATATATATTTATATCTTAAATATATCTGTCGCCACTGGCTTGCATGGTTCAGGATCTGAAAAGCTACTCATCGATGAATTTGCTCTTTAGTGTTTGGACTCTAAATAATGACTTCAAACCACACTGAACTGAGCTAAACTGAACTGAACTTAAACACTAAAAACTGAACTACCCTGATCCAGTTACTATGACCATTTATGTGAAGCTGCTTTGACACAATCTACATTGTAAAAGTGCTATACAAATAAATCTGAATTGAATATATATATATGTATATGTATATATATATGGGCAAAGCACTGGCACAGTAGGTAGTGCTGTCGCCTCACAGCAAGAAAGTCGCTGGTTCGAGCCTCGGCTCAGTTGGCGTTTCTGTGTGGAGTTTGCATGTTCTCCATGCGTTCGCGTGGGTTTCCTCCGGGTGCTCCGGTTTCCCCCACAGTCCAAAGACATGTGGTACAGGTGAATTGGGTAGGCTAAATGTCCGTAGTGTATGAGTGTGTGTGAATGTGTGTATGGATGTTTCCCAGAGATGGGTTGCGGCTAGATGGGCATCCGCTGCGTAAAAATAAGTTGGCGGTTCATTCTGCTGTGGTGACCCCGGATTAATAAAGGGACTAAGCCGACAAGAAAATAAATGAATGAATAATATATTTATAATATTTTATACCTTTAATATTATAATATTCTGATTTGCTGCTCCAAAGAAAAAAAAGTTTATGTATAGTATAATATTTATTATAAATAGATACATATATTTTATGGTATAAAATAAATAATATAATGTATAATATAATAATATAGTGTATAAAATATGGGGCGAGGCAGTGGCGCAGTAGGTAGTGCTGTCGCCTCACAGCAAGAAGGTCACTGGGTCGCTGGTTCGAATCTCGGCTGCATATCATATGCATCCGTTGTGTAAAAACTTGCTGGATAAGTTGGTGGTTCATTCCGCTGTGGCGACCCCGGATTAATAAAGGGACTAAGCCGACAAGAAAATGAATGAATGTATAAAATAATATAATAATGGTATAAAATAAATGATATGATATATAAAATAATAATATAATGTATAAAATATAATGTATAAAATAATATAATAATGGAATAAAATAATTAATATATCAAATTAAAAAATGTAACGGCCTCCTCACTGGCCTTCCCAAAAAGTTGCAGCTTATCCAGAACGCTGCAGCCAGAATTCTGACCAGAACCAGGAAATCAGAGCACATCACACCTGTCCTCAGGTCTTTATACTGGTTCCCAGTCACATCCAGAATACATTTTAAAGTATTATTACTGGTCTATAAATCACTAAATTGCCTTGGACCTAAATACATTACAGATATGCTGACTGAATACAAACCAAATAGATCCCACAGATCTTTAGGGCCAAATAAACTAAAAATTCCAAGAGTTCAGTCAAAGCAGGGTGAATTGGCTTTCAGCTACTACGCCGCTCGCTGCTGGAATCAGCTTCCAGAAATGATCAGATGTGCTCCAACATTAGGCACATTCAAATTAATCACACTATTATGTCTTTTTCTTCTTTTTCATTCTTTTATAACATATTTTAACACATTTTAATCTGTTTTGAATCTTTTTTATTGTTTGTTCTTTTTTATTTTCTTATACTTGTCTTTATGTAAAGCACTTTGAATTGCCACCGTGTATGAAATGTGCTATATAAATAAACTTGCCTTGCCTATAATGTTTTCAGCTGTTTTTGATGGAAAGAATATTCAGTTGAATGGCATTTACCTAAAAATGAAATTGTTCGTGACATTATAAGGACCATGTGACTGGTGAAAACATGCTACAAATTTAGCTTTGAAATCACGGGACTAAATTAAATTTCAAACCGTAAACATATTGCAGATTTACTGGTCAAATAAGGGCAGTCTTGGCGATCAGAAGTAGTTTTTCTTTGAAATAAAATTTTTCTAAAACTTCTATAATTAAAAAAAATAAGAATTCTCTACAGGGTTTCACTGTTTTTGAAGTAGCATAGCCAACACGGAGTATGACATTTTGAATACAGCTCGTGAAGATGTTTATCACGGTTCCTAATGTCAAGTGCATTACAGGTAGCATTGATGCACATATGCTTAAATTGAGCATACAAAATGAGTTAATGTCATTGTCACATCATTCTGCCTGTTTGCAGGACCCATGCCCTCTGTGCGATGAAGCAAAAGCAGAACTTGAACCATATAAACACAGGGTAAGCAGTCAGTTCACACACACTAATCTCATATTCATTTGATTATTTCTTTAATTAGTGTCTCCTTTTATTTTCCATTTCAGTTTGAGCTGCAGGAGGTTGATATCACCCTTCCAGAGAATAGAGTCTGGTTTGACAGATACAGATTTGACATTCCTGTCTTTCATTTAAATGGACAGTTTTTGATGATGCACCGTGTGAACTCAACTCTCCTTGAAAAACATCTAAGTAAAGCAATTGAACAATAATACTCAAGAGATGTTATGCAGCGTAGTCTTCATTTCATTAAGGATCTATTTAACAATAGTTGTACCCCAGTTATCATTTTCACAGATTTTCAAGAGTTCACACTTAGCTGATGATTGATTATAAGCAAGTTTAGCATGCTGTGCCGGGAGAGAGCTCCCTCCCATTTGCAGGGCGAGTGGGGAGCCTTGGCCTGAGGTAGATCTCGACAACTCCCCCCTTGATAAGAGCTAATGACTTAAATTACAGGTGTCAAACTCAGTTCCAAAAGGGCCGCAGCTCTGCACAGTTTAGTTCCTACCCTAATTAAACACACCTGATCAAACTAGTTGAGTCCTTCAGGCTTGTTTGAAACCTACAGGTAAGTGCGTTGGAGCAGGGTTGGAACTAAACTGTGCAGGGCTTTGGCCCTCCAGGAATTGAGTTTGACACCCCTGATTTAAATGAATGCTATGGAGAGATATGCTGCAGGATGAGAGACTGACTGTAGTGCTAAATTTAGATTGATCAATTCACTTGTAGTGCATGTTTTTGGAATGTGGGAGGAAACCAGAGGACCCGGGGAAAACCCACGCGAGCACGGGAAGAACATGCAAACTACGCACAGAAACGACCGCCGGCCTGTTAAAGGACTAGAACCGGTGATGTTTTTGCTGTGAGGCAACAGTGCTAACCACTGGGCCGCCTTATGAAGGGGAAAGGTGAAGAGGTAGGGGTGGAAGGGGGGATTCTTCAAATCGAAGATGACTAGTGAAAAACCCTGGCTCTTTATAGTGGGTTAGAAATGGCCTGATTGGTGGATCAAACGTGTTGAGAAGTTGTTCCTAAACAGCAAACTCAGTGTCACACCCCTGCTCCGATTATGGTACACCATTTATATGGTACTGACCATTTCTTAGTGTCTTTTTGTGCTCAGCTTGCAGTTTTTAAATTGCAGTCACCCCGGACAATCAAATTTAGAAACGTTAAGAACATTGATTTATTACATTTTTCAGATGTACTTAATAGTTTTGCATACAATGTGGACTCATCTTCTGCTGATGCTCTGGTGTCTATTTACAATAATGGACTATCTGAAATTTTGGACACTTTTGCACCTTTACAAACCCGGACGGTCTCTCTTTCTGTTTCTGCTCCTTGGTTTACTTCTGATCTGCATCAACTCAAAACTAAAGGTCGCAGGTTGGAACGGTTGTATAAGAAGTCTGGGTTAACTGTCCACAAACAAATGTTTACAGAACATGCTCATCATTATAAGGAAGCATTACTTAAAGCAAAATCTGACTATTATGCTAACAGAATAGAATCTAGTCAGGGTAACTCTAGATTACTCTTCTCTGTAGTTAAAAAATCATTAAGTTTTCCTGACACATCACTTTCTTCTTCAACTGAGTTATGTAACAGCTTCCTGTCTTTTTTTGAAACAAAAATTAAGGACATTCATCATCAATTACATACAAATAGTTCAGCCCCTGACTTCAGTCAAAATGTTTCTGAAATCATCACACATTTCTCTTTTGATACTTTTACCTTACCATCTACCGCTGAAATAGTTGGTCATATACAGAAATCTAAAACTACCAACTGCCTGCTTGATCCACTTCCTACATGCTTAGTTAAGACCTGTCTTCCATCATTGTCCACACTGATTACTAACATTATTCACAAATCACTGGATTCTGGATCTGTCCCATCTTTACTTAAAACTGCTGTAATCACCCCAGTACTAAAAAAACCTGGAGCTGATTCATCCAATTTGGCCAACTATAGACCAATTTCCAATTTGCCATTTGTCTCAAAAATACTGGAAAAATGTGTTGCGTCTCAACTCCATAAATATCTTGCTAATAACAATTTGTTTGAGCTCTTCCAGTCTGGTTTTCGTCCCAACCACAGTACTGAGACTGCTCTTGTCAGGATTACTAATGATTTACTACTGGCAGCAGACTCTGGTTTACTGTCAATTCTTATTCTCCTGGACTTGAGTGCAGCCTTTGACACGGTTTTGCACAAGGTTCTTTTGAATAGGCTTGCCTCACTAGGGATCTCTGGCACCCCTCTTTTATGGTTGAAGTCATATCTTGAAGATCGTACTCAGTTTGTTCAAATTAAAGATTTTAAGTCAAGATCGCAGATTGTCACTACTGGTGTCCCACAGGGTTCTGTACTGGGTCCACTCCTGTTTATCATATATCTACTGCCTCTTGGTCACATTTTCAGAAAATACAACATACAATTTCACTGTTATGCTGACGACACTCAACTCTACCTGTCCACCAAGCCCTCCTGTTCTTTTCCTCCTCCTGCTTTGAGCAGATGTTTAGCTGAAATAAAAATCTGGCTTTCAGCTAACTTTTTAAAATTAAACAGCAACAAAAGCTGATAATTTCACTATAGACATTGATAACAGTACAATTTTTCCCTCCATGCAGGTAAAGAGTTTGGGTGTCATCTTGGATAGCACACTCTCATTTGAAGGTCACATTAATAATATTACACGTACTGCATATTTCCACCTGCGTAATATCACTCGTCTCCGCCCTTCTCTCACAACTAATAACACAGCCATTCTTATCCACGCATTAGTTACTTCACGTCTTGACTACTGTAATGCACTTCTTTCTGGACTTCCTTCCAAACTTCTCCATAAACTCCAACTGGTTCAGAACCATGCAGCTCGTGTCATCTCTAGGACCCCATCTCACGAGCACGTCACACCACTCCTCTATCAGCTTCATTGGCTTCCAGTAAAGTATCGAATTGATTTTAAAATATTACTTCTAACTTTTAAGGCACTTCATAATCTCGCACTTCAATATCTCACTGAACTTCTCCATATCTACACCCCTTCTCGTACCCTTAGGTCAGCTAACAACTTCACTCTGGCACCACCTCGCACTCGACTGAGCAAAATGGGAGACAGATCTTTTAGCTCTATGGCTCCTAGGCTATGGAACTCACTTCCAGTAGATCTTAGGAGCAGTGATAGTCTTCACAATTTTAAATCACGGCTAAAGACCCATCTTTTTAAGCAGGCTTTTACTTAACCATTTTTTTTATCATGTTCTTTTATATTCGCTATTGTGTTTTAACTTGTTTGGTCAATGATTGTTTTTAGTAATGTTTAAGTTGTTTAGCATGTCTGCTGATGCTTACTGTAAGGCGACCTTGGGTGTCCAGAAAGGCGCCATTTACAAATAAAATGAATTATTATTATTATTATTATTACACTCCAATCTTCTAATTCAATCTTTGGCCAATCAGGAGTGCCTCAAGGGCTTTATTAACTGCACCTGTGTACAAATCCTTGTCAATGCTAATAAATACAACTAAAGTTCAAATGGAGTGACTAGACTGGACCTCTGTTCTAACCGACAGCACCACTGGCTTCAAGCTAGCTACCTAAACAATCACTCCTAATCTCCTTTTTAATACATGTTAATGCAGAACCAGCCATGTTCAATCATAATCACGTGGTCCTCTCGAAATTAGTTTATGAATAAACTTTACTTAAAATAGCCTACTTTTGGCTCTTTGGAGGCTTTACAGTTTGGTATCTAGGACTTGGAATAAAACTGTTCTTGTTTATAATGTTGTGTTCAAGATTTGTATTATAATCGACAACAGATTATGCATGATCAACATATTGTAATGTCACCCATTGTGAAAACACTGATAGTTAAAGGTCAAAGTGGATGACTTTAGTATTTTGTTATTAGTTATCATACAATGGTATAACATTGAGTTTAACGGTCTACCATGATATTCATTCATGGCTTTATGATAGCCTTACAGGAACATAAAGGGTTAGTTCACTCAAAAACAGAAACTCTTGTTTTTAATTATTCACTAATGCTATTCCAATCCCAAAACTTTTGTTCATCTTAAATAAGTACATTTTAGATTAAATTGGAGAGCCCTCATCCAGAAACGGAAGCAAAAACATTGTCAAAACATTACATGTGAGTTCAGTGGTTCAACTGCAATCATACAAAGCTCCAAGAAAACTTTTGGGAAGCACTTTGCTTGTCAGTGTTTTCTCTACCTCATTTGGTCGGCAGGGTGCATGTCTACTTTGGCAGTATGATGTATTACCAGTCTGCTGTGCAACACCCAAGTATTGTATTGCCGTAGTAAATAAGCACCATGATGTGAGGTATTCAATGTATTTTGACTAACAAAGTCGTTTTTACTGCTGTTTTGAAGCTTGATTTGATTAGGTTTAGTTGAACCACTGAAGTCGGATATGTTTTGGGTTTACCATTCTGGACTTTGAATGTCTCAGGGCCAATTCTGTTTATGTGAATCTGGAAATCTGCAGATAAAACAAAAAAGAAAATCTGGAATATGAGGCTTAAAAAATAAATAAATACAGTCTGAAAAATATAATAAATACTGAGCCAGGCTCCTGCAGAGTTTACCTCCAATTTGTTTCAACACACCTGCCAGGAAGTTTTTAGTACACTAGTTAAGAGCTCGACCAACTGGTTCAGGCGTGTTTAATTGGGGGTTTGCAGGACACTGGCACTCCATGACCAAGTTTGGGCACCCCTGCTATAAATGAAGGGTTTAGCAATGAACATATGAATCAAATTAAGTTATTTACAACAAAGTAGAGAATCATTGAATATGAACTTAACTTCTGATGAACTTTGCTTTAATAAAACCTATTATTTTTACTCGTACCATAAATTGTTTATTGCCAAAAAATATTCCTGTGCTACAGGGAACGTTGACTGTTTATATGGTCCAGGGTTACATATGAAGGATGAGGGAGAGCTCTCAGATTTAAATCCAACATATCTTAATTTGTATTCCAAAAGATGAATAAAGGTCTCTGGATTGAACAACATGATTACATCATTGAATGCAATTAATAACAGAGTTTTCATATTGGGGTTCTTTAAGACAAAGACGAGGCTATTTCCTGTTTCTATTTATTTATACATTTAACCTAGTCAAATCAAGCAGCTATTCAAGGAACTACTTTTTTTAAATCATATTTTGCC